ATGGTTTTATTTGAGTTTTTGGCTGTGTTATAGCAAATGTATTACTGTGTTAGTGTGCCTTGTTTACCACGTTTGGGCATGAGTCATCACAATGGAATGCAGGGCATCAACCAATAGGCATGCAGCTTTCCTCTATTCTTCTTGCTGATTGGCTGTTGGGATTTAACTTGATCAACACCTGCACAGAGCATTTCCACCTGCACAGAGCATTTCTTGCTGTAGGCTGTTGGGATTTAACTTGATTAACACCTGCACAGAGCATTTCCATACTGACAGTATGTCTGTATTCAAGTGTTTTGGTAGGTATTTCAAGTTTTCCTGCTCCAGCATTGGAATGCTGGGCATGGACGTTTTTTTTTTATTTGAAAATCAACAGTTTGCATTATGCAATTAAAAATCCTAACCAATAAAGTAGGGAATAGCTATCCAACTGTTGTTTTAGTTGCATTTTACTTCATATTATAGTTATATCAATGTAAATCATTGTTTTCCCTTGTGTTTCTCATTCTTTCCCTGCCATGTCGTAAAATGTGGCGAACCCATCGCTGTATTTGCTCCAAAGCAAATATTTGCCTTTCTAGTTTGCCTTTAAATTTCATCAATTCTTCCATTTCTTTTAAAAAAAAAAGGTTAAAATGAAGGTCTTTAGTATGTTTACAATGTATTTTAGGCTGTATCATGAAAAAAAAAATTTTGAAAATTCAAGATTGATGATTGATATCTGATTGCGGATATATTAAATATGCATGATGTCATTTTATGACGTCACCGGTGTTGCTATGGGCAACATAAGACTTAGTACACCCTAATATTCTGTCATAAACACTTTTGGTACAGTTATGTTGAATACCATTTAGTTTTCAGGAAAAAAACCTATCTAGACGGTTTGGGCCAATAAAATCACATTAATGACGTCATAATGACGTCATATTACGTCATAACGACAGAAAAATTGTAAATATGATAAATTTTTACTAGTACATCATACTCTAAAAATACGACTTACCGTTCGCGAGTTCTGAGGGGGGAGGGTCTAAAGAGCTCCCCCCGGTCCTCCCATACCAAAAAAAGCCCGGTCTAGGTAGGGTTCAAGATTCCCAGGATGACCGAAAAACGCGGTATGAATAAAGTGAGCTCAATTCAAATCGCTTGGGGGAGGGTAACTCAATGACCGGAGGGGATGGGGTGTTTGGGGGGCCCGACCTAAGTAACTCATAAACTATTTATTACCATCTCATAATCGCTAAATATTCAGATGATAGTCTAAAAGTAAAGTACGGTCGTAAACGTCCTATGTGATTGTAAAATGTACAATGGGGCCGCATTTTATCATCTTACTATGAAGACATGTGAATACTTTGCCTTTGAAAATACATCTATAAGCAGTGGAACCTGTGCTGTGCAGTGCATGTGAACGCAATATACGGATGCGATATGCAATCTATGCGCTGAATTAGTTATTTTTACTTTACATGTGCGTCACAGTACCCGAGCGTAATGTGCGCAGGGCTTAAATGTCTTCGCGAAACTCATACGCAATGGCTATTCGCAGNTATTTTCTTTGGCTCCTGTGCCCTAATATTAATCCGAATGACCTGAAATCTGGTATGGGAATACCTTGGACACATGTCCAAAGAATGTCATTCACGATTTTGACATACACCACTTTAAAGTTATGTAAAATAGGGCTTTTTGGCTATTTCCGGCATTGGAAGGTTCCATTTCTGCATGGGGGTGTAGACTATTGGCAGCCATCGTGGGGTAGATCCATTTTCGGTATGGGGGATTGGGTGAAGCCATTTGCTGCATTTGCTCTCAAGCAAATGTCGACCTTTCTAGTTATATTTCAGTCCATACCATGGTATGGATGAAATATATTGTGTTCCCTCATGTTTCTCCTCCTCCTCCTCCTGCCAAACAGTCAAAGGGATTCAACTCAGCCATCATTCAGCCAAATGACCTGAAATTTGGCATGGAGGTAGAGTGGACAAATACCCCCAGAAGTTTTTTCATTTTTTCGAAACATGCCTTTCAAAAATGTTTATGAAGGTTTTTTGGGGCATTTTTCGACAAAAAATGGATTTTTGGATCCTGAGCCCTGGTATTACAACCAAATGATCTGAAATTCGGTATAGGGGTACCTTGAACGTGTGTCTACAGAATAGCAGTCACATATTTGGCATACACCACTTCCAAATGGCTCATTTGGGGGACTTTAATGGCTATTTTCAGCAAAAAAAGGGCCAAAAGTGCTGTACCCGTTCCATGTTCTATCTAAAGAATGGTCGGTTCCATCCATGGAACACGTGTTCCATTTCGGGTTACCTGAGGTCACATTGTACCTAAGTGGTGCGTAATGACCCACAAATTCAATTTTATGTGCCTAAGACCTTCAAAATGTATCAAATCTCATCATTGTTTGTTTTTGCATACCTGTAATAAGATTAATATTTAGTAAAGCTTTCGAGATTCAATGTACTTGTTGTTGCATCTTTGTTCTCATATAGCTACTATTTAATTCATTTATTTGAGAACCTTTGCCAGTTTTGCATTGGAGTAAGTTTGGAATAGTCCACTTTTGCGTGGGAGGCAGATGGACTGAAATATGCTGTATTTGCTCCCAAGCAAATGTCGGCCTTTCTAGTCTGATGTTTCTTCTCCTTCTCCTTCTCCTTCTCCTTCTTCTCCTGCCATTTTTTAAATGGATTCAGTTTCTTCATTTTAGGGCCCAAGGTCCTGAAATTTGGTATGGAGGTACAGTTGGCAAATACCCCTAGGCGTTTTTTAAATTATTGTGATACAGGCTTTTAGAATGGTTTTATTTGAGTTTTTGGCTGTGTTATAGCAAATGTATTACTGTGTTAGTGTGCCGTGTTTACCACGTCTGGGCATGAGTCATCACAATGGAATGCAGGGCATCAACCAATAGGCATGCAGCTTTCCTCTATTCTTCTTGCTGATTGGCTGTTGGGATTTAACTTGATCAACACCTGCACAGAGCATTTCCACCTGCACAGAGCATTTCTT